GTCTTGCATGTAGACAACTGTGTACACCTCGAGAGTTTCTCTTGCATGTTCTAACCTCACTTTCATCCTCTCTTGAACTTTGTTGGGTTTTTTTTGCTTGTTTGTTTTTTTTCTTTATTTTCTTATCAGCAGGTTTGTGGCAGTCAGCTCAGACCAGGGAAATCCAACCAGGCAGGTTGGAGACCAGCCAGCTGGTGGTCCTAATTAACAGGAACATGTAATTAAAATCTAAGCAGATGTGGTTTGGGCAGGTGGTATTTCCTGTTTGCTGTGTGTACATGCTATGTGCGATAAATACAAATAAACACTCTGGATGCAACTGCAAAAATACTTGTGCATATGCTGAGCAGTTGGTCTGTGTAAGTGTTCTGTGCTTGCCCAGGACTGTGGAAACTACCATGTTTCAGCTGGGCTGAAACCAGTTCTGAAATCCTGAATATATGTAAACATTTTTAAAACTTAGCCTGGACAAAGTTTGCAGGTAGGAGAAATGACATACACCTGAAAGTCTCTAAATAAAGTCTATAAAACTCTGTGCAATGTGTTTCTTGCTTCCTTTTTTGATTATCTGCTACCAGCTACTGTTGGAAACAGTGTATTAAGCAAGATAACACTTCGATCTGATGTAGCTTGCAGTCTCCCAAATTTGAAAACAGGTACTCTGCTGAAAAATCTGCACCAAACAAATCACACTTGAAGTTCTTCATTTTTGAGGGAAAAGTCTGTGCCTTTAGATTTTTAAGATTAAATTTGTAAAATACTGGTACAGTTTTAGACCTGTTTTGGGGGCAGTTGTAGCAGTTTAATAGGATTGCCTGATAAGGAATTTTGCCATAGAGTTAAATTATCTGATTTTTTAATTGTTAGTGACGTATTGTAATTTTTCGGTGTCCCTTGTGTGTTTTTTTGCAGTGTCCCAGTGTACCACCAGCACTGAGCAGCTGACTTATTTGCAAACCTTGTTCTTTTCTTTATGAAGCTGTGTTGAAAGAAGTGCTGTTCTAGCAGGCGGCTTTCCATTAAGCTGCTATGGCTCCATGTTCCCCATGGTTACCAATTTGAAAATGAAAATTGCTGTATTTTGTGTGTAAGCCCATGTGTTCATTTATCTTTTATAATCAACTGTTAGAGATTGGTCTTCTCAAGCCACAGAGGCTGTAGAAAGCCTGGCTTTATTACAGTAATATCTTTGTCTTTTTTCAGCTTATTTTCCTAGTTTTAGAACTTTAAACCTTTAACAGTCATGGCCTGCTGCTCTTTGCTGGCCAGGGCATTCAGGCAGTAAAATAGTCTTCTTGTTTACACAGGAAATCTAAGAAGGTGGCTTCAGAAATGTTTTCTTGGTCTTGTCATCGTATCAACATAGGAAAAATTTACCTGTGAAGTAGGGTATGTTTTTTAACTGCCATTTTTTTCCTGATTTTGCATTTTTAAGTTCAGAAACCATATTATTGGAGGTGGAGCAGGATACATATGAAACAAATTTATGTCCCGTTCTAATGTTGTCCTGGGTTCAGCAGTAGCAGTTATTTTTCTCCTTCTTAGTAGCTGGTGCAATGCTGTGTTTTTGACTTTCAGCCTGGGAACAGCGCTGATAACACCGATGCTTTTAGTTACTGTTCATATGTTTAGTCTGACCAAGGAATTTGTGAGTCTCATCCTCTGCCCGGGAGGAGGGGAAGATGGAAGGAAGCAGAGACAGGACACCTGACCCAAACTAGCTGAAGAGGTATTCCATACCATAGCACGTCATGCCCAGGATTTAACTGAGAGTTACCCGGAAGGGCTAGTTCACTGCTCAGTTGGGCTGGGTATTATCAGTCGGCAGTTGATATTGTATTCTCTTCCCTTGTTATTTCCCTTACCGTTATTATTATTGGTGGTAGCAGCAGTGGTTTGTGTTATACCTTAGTTACTGGACTGTTCTTATTTCAACCCGTGGGAGTTACATTCTTTCAGTTCTCCTTCCCATCCCTCCAGGAGAGGGAGGAAGAAGGTGGGGGGGGGGGGGGAGTAGACTGCGTGGTTCTGATTTATGTCCTGGGCTTAAACCACGACAAATGTACATTAGTTCAATATCTGATCTGTATTAGAAGGTAAAGGCCAGTAACTTTTGGAAATCTCTTTGGGAGTATCCGATAAAAGCACAGTATTGCCTAGACTGTTATTGCTATATCAACATTGATTCTAACTTGAGATCAAATCTTAAGTCTGTGGTTGTTCTATTTCAATAAATAATGTAGATTTACAGCAACTAGGATGTGCCCATTAACTTTGTGGTTATTTCTGTTGACTGAACCTGAACTGAATGAAGTATCTCTTTAATGCAAGGGAATAAAAAAATTGGCTGGCATTATTAAAGGCAATATTGTAGATGGAAATTTGCAACAGCATTGCTATTGATTTCTACTGAGTATGCAGCCACTTGCAAAAGAGAGAAACATAATCATCTCAGGGGTCTGTTTCTTTTCACTGCTTAAATCTTATTACTATGACTCTCAGTGCTCTGCAAGTTTTAGGAAGCATGTTAATTCACAATTTGCAGAGAAGGACTATGAAATTCACGTGAATTTTTCATATTTTTCCAGCACAAACTGCCAAACTTTACAGTTTTCTGAATTTGGTTAGGTTTAGGAAATACTATTTTTACATATTATACTTAATATCCAATTAGTATAGAATAAAAATGAATTAAATTACCTCAGGCTTTAAATTCATGCAATCAGCAGAACTATATCTAAGTGGTTGTAAGAATCTAAGAAAAAAAAAAAACACCAAAACCGAAAACCAACAAATATCTTTAAGATGATGTTCATAAGATTTGTCCAAGTAGTCTAATATTGGCTGATTTGTGTAGTATTATGTGTGCTTATAATTTGCAATTTGATTTTAACATTCTGTAAAGCCATTATGGGGTAAATAGTGAATGTGCTCATTAACTCTATCAGATATGTTGTCACAAAAGTTTCAAAGACACGCTTATTTATGAAGTGGAAAGTAACTTCTGTGAGTAAGGGAGCAATTTGCTTATTGTATCTTCTTCTTTTAATGCTTAATTCTTTTCATTGAAATAGAATACTTCTTGTTGAAATGACCATAATGTTGTTGTCCTGGCATAAGTTTCTTCAACTGTTTATTCTATTAATGTTTCTATCACCTGAGGGAAATGCAGATATTATGTTAATGCTTATGTTAATAAAAACTTTCTGTATTTCCACAGTGCCCAAGTTTATAACATTACATTAGCAGGCACAGGAAATCAGAAACTTGTAATATACTACAGATTGAATTAACTTGTCTGTTTTGTATAGACTGCTTAAAGACTTACTTTAGATAATTTAAAAAGATTAATTCTGCAATACCATAATTCCTCCTGACAGGATCTCTGAAGTCTTCAGCATAAGTCCAGCATTCTTATAATGTTTTTGAGCTTTCTGTGTGAATAAGCTTGCTCTTGCAGTGCAGCCTAGCACACAGTATGCTTCTTTAAACAGATACATATTTTTGTTTTGTTTTTTTTTAAATCCTGTGGCTGTTGGAATAATTATTTTACCCATATAATGTGATGGTGGGCATTAGACATTTGAATGTAGTAAACTATTTTTTGAGCCGTTTCAAGGTTACAGGGGGTGTTATTCTCTTTGTACCTTTTTTAAGCTTTTGATTTTATCTAGGCAGTAAATACTCACTTTTTGAAAGGTCTGTTGAACCAGAAGGTAGCTTTGTTGGGGTAGAGAAGGGAGTCTTTGTGCTTGCTTTCTGTCATAAGCTTTCCTTGGTGGAGATCACCCTTGAGTTAGTGCAGACCCTGATGGAAGCAGTGCCAGTACCTTTAGCTGGGGCCATACTACTTGCACCATTGAAGCTGCATTTTGAGTAGCATGGGGATGCCTGTAAAGCACTTTGTGGGCTTTGTAATAATGTTTTTTTTTAAAGACCATTTTATTCAACCATCGCTTCTGATGGTTGTGAAAGACAGCCAAGGTATTTTATCAGGTTCCATTACGGACTCTAAAGCATCTAAATGTAATTGATATTTTTGTGAAGAAAAGGTTCTAAGGAAGAGTTTCAGGCAGTATCAGTTGGTTTTTTTTCTACTCAGAAATCAATACTTCTGTGATCCTTAGTCTTATTTCTGAGTCCTGAGAGCCCTGCTTGCCTAGGTAAGTAGGGAGAGTCTTTAGTTGTCCCGCCAGCATGTCTATCCTCTAAAATTATCTTTAAAATACTCTCTACATCTTGTATCTTTTGGCATTCCCTGCGCAGTAGTGTGGTCTTTCAGTGCAGTCACTGCTTTCATTTTATGGCCCATCTGGTAGCAGGTGTTAAACAGTGGTACAAACGCAGTGCTATGAGCCCAGGCAAACCCTTCTGAAGTCTCAGTTGGGCCATCTGGTAGAGACTGCCAAAATAATTTCCAGACTCATTTCATACACTTGCCAAGCTGTTGGCTCAGGTAATCCTTCAGTGCAGGAAGGAAATCTGAGGAAAACTTCCTGACAGCAGAGTATTTTGGGGAACAGTTCCATTCTGTTTAGTAGATTTGCTTTACTTAATGAATTTAAACCAAACATATAATTGCAATTAATATTCAGCAACATGCCCTACCTGAAGTCCCTGAAATGCTACTTCAGATAAGTGCTACTTCAGTGTTCGTTATATTCAGTGCTTGGTTAAACTGATGCTGTATCAGAAATTTAATCAGCACTGGAGAGATCGATTTTGAAATAATTACTGTGATAATTTCTGTAGGATTCTTTGTTTCAATAAGGTATGTTTTCTCTAAATGTTTTTTCTTATTTTTATTTCAAAAAAAGCAGTTGCTTTTCTCTCATAGTTGGTAAGAAATTATTTGCAAATATATGAAGTGTGATTTCCCTCCCCACCCCCCTATATTTGATGGTACATTATTAATAAAATTATGGACTGATGAGCAGTAGGGTACAAGTGTCTTGGTGGGAAATAAATTAAACAGTTTTTACTTGTGTGTTTTTTTCCAGAGATCTGTTACAGTTCCCTAGGGAAGATGATGTAGACATTGCAATGAAAATTCTGGCTCAGTGGCGTTCCCAAGGTCTTGAAGATGTCCAGCTGGTAAATTACTCTGTTTTGCTTGACCTACCGGGCTCTTCTTCAAACACAGTAACTCTGAAAAAGAGCGGTGAATGCTTTTATCCTAGTGGACAACAGTGCAACAGAGAGACCAAAACACTTCATAGCCAAGACCTCCTGTACTCGTATGCAGCTTACTCTGCCAAAGGAACTCTTGAGGTAATATAACCATTTGTCTCTGTCATTTGTGGTGAAATAGAGTTATAAAACATTAGCTTTTGTTGAACTTGGTTGGAGTACATGTGGTGAAATACCCGGCCTTAAAATTGTCATATTTAGGTAAAATATGGTGAGGCCAATCTCAATTCAAACTTGAAAAGTAGTCAGACCCAAACACATAATATGATATATGGGGGGCTTTGTTGTTGTTGATTTTAGTATTATTTTATTTTTTTTTTAAAGTATCTGAGTTTATGAATGGGCATCTTTTGCTTGGGTGTAAAGATCTGAAAACTGTGTCTAGAGTTACATTTTATCCCTGTTGACATATAAGTGCTACTGGTTTGAGGGATGCCTGTAGGAAGGGTAAGATGAGGTTTTCTGCTGTGAGACCATGGGAGTACTGGGCTTATACTTCGAGCTCCTGAGTTATGGTTGTGGATCTCACTTGCTTACTTCTGTGGCAGCTCAGTTGACACATCTGCTCTGTTTCCCCTTGAAAACCACTATTTGTAATTTTATCTCACTGTAGCTTTTGTTAGGAAGTTTTGTCAGTGGAAAGATCTGCCTATTGGGATTTGTTACTTGCCAAATGAAATAAGATCTTGGATTATCTTGTTTTATCCTCTTCACTGTCTTTGCTAGCTGCCTTCATATATTTGCTTTCCAAATATATTGGGGACACACAAAGGGGTCATCATTTCTGTTTACTTTCCTAGCTGAGATAGTATGAATCTCAATAAATATTTCTGAAATATTAAAGTTGCAATTTCAGTGCTAACCATATTACTGGTTTCTTTCTCCTTTGTAAAAAAATATTGTATGCTAGTGCAGTGATGGAGGAGTTTTTCCATCTTTGTTTCTTTATTGTTTAGAACATATGTTTTTAATGACTTAGAACACTAATAGACTATATAGGAACAAATTATGTATGGCTTTGCATTTGGAGGATGCCTCTTCCAAAATACCTTTATATTTTGTGAATATTTAAATATTTGTAACATCTGTTACTGAATATCTGAAATGTAACTGTTGTGTGTTTGCCTTTTGTTTGTGAAAGTTTATTGATAGCAAGTAATGCACTGTGAAAATCCTTTAATGAGTCAAAATGAGTTAAGTTGCATGTTGCTAACTAATCTGTTGGACTATTAACATAATTCCGAATGTTTAGCTGTAGGAAATATGAGGGCTGGTAGAAAGGCTGATCTTTTAGCTTCCCATCCTGAAGTTTGAAAGCTTCAGCTTCCCTTTCTTAGGAGCACTGAAGCTTCTTGGTCCAAGGGCTTTATCCCAGAGAGGATAAGGAATGGAGTTCTTGTTCTCCTCTGGGAGAATGTCACTTGTTTTTGTTTATGTTAGATGCCCACTCTTTGCATTGAGTCTCATGGTTGTTGTCTCCACGCAGCCTCTGTTCTGGGGCTTTGTCAACCCAACAACTTCATATTTGTTGTTAAGAAGCGAAATGAAGCAGGCAGGGGCAGGTCTTAACCTGCATGATGTACGCTTTAACTTTTCCATGGGCAAGTAAAAAGTACTAATGAATAGGTTTGGCTTCTCACATTTATCACTTAGAAACTCAATCTGTAATATTGATTTCTCACTGTAAGTTTGTAAGAGGATTTGTAATGAGGTGAAAGTACAGTTGTGGCCTTTGAGGTTTTTTTTCATGAAAATCAAAGTGTTAGTAACACATTAATCAGATTAAAGGAAACCCACTGTTCTCAGAAAAAAAAAATCATGTACTACTTTCAGTTATATTTCAGGGCAGTTTTCTCTGAGTTCTTCAGAAATGAGGACCACACACACTGCATTGTACTCACTGGGGTTGGACCTTTGCGTTGGCAAAACTTACAGCTTGAGTTTGAGCCAAAGAATGACTGTGCACACTTATACAGTCAGATCTTTGAGTTACCTGGCACCCTCAAAAAACTTCAGATCTTTTATTCTTCAAAATGTCTTCCCGAAGTGTCCTTAGGTCTAGAGTTTTGCCTAAAAGGGAAATTTCTCTATTTGTTTAGTTTACAGATAAATTGACAGTGTTCTAACCTTCCAGACTTTCAGTCCTGCACAGTGATTTCTACTATTGAAACTAATGGAAGTAAGAAAACTTTAAATGAGAAATAGCAGGCTGTGGCTGTTGCTGAGATCAGCCATCAGAAGGTGACTTGATTGCTTGCAGTGAAACTACAAGTTGCATATTTTTTAATATCTTTTAGTGGATTGTGATTGCAAAATCATGAGTTTTCCTATGAAAAGGTATTCTTGTAACAGCTACTCATAATCTGAATAATTTTCTTTCAAATGTGACACATCATTAGTCGGAAATTTCTGTTGTGTCACATAATCAGGTTGAATTGCTAATGCTGCTTTGATGCTGCCACTACTTCATTGTGTCTCATTTGTGTATTTGGTTTGCCAGAAGTTCAAGCAAATAAAACCTTTAAGTAACTGCAGTCTGGCTAACAGCAAAGCTACAGCTCTACTTTTATGTTGACAAGATTATTTGTAGAATAGCAAGAATCATTTTCTTTGACCACCTGTCATGTCCATTCATCATATGGCCATTGTATGTGAGCCGTCCAATTTGTGCTCTCTGGTAGCAGTCTAAACAGCATTTGTGAATAAAAATGTGAGCATTTGTGATCTGAAATCTACTTGAAAAACCTACTTAGTGTCATTGTGATGGATAGTACCCTTTACTACTACTCTGTATTTCATTGAGCCCTGAAAACGTGACAGTGTTTACCCATCATGGTGACAGGCAGGGCAGCCTACAGTACTGGAGAGGGCTGTCGAGTTGGTTTTGAAATAGGTATTGCAACAGTTATGTAAATAATGTATCGCAGACTAGGTCAGTCTAAGGAAAGAATGACACATGAAATATATTTTGATTAGAACTAAAATATCAACCACCTTTTATGGAGTTTAAACCTTTTGTCTGCTTGATGAAAACAGGAAAGCCACGCAGGCCAACAGAACGCCTCTATAAAGGGAAATTACATTGCATCAAACTTATGCATTAAAGCAAAATGTGTTGTCAAACAGTATCTAGGCAGTCTCGAAGTGTGTAGTGTGGTGAATCGAAATGTGCTGCTCCCTGACGTCACAGTGCAGTGATCTTAGAGCTGTGGCTGCATGTGCTTTCACCAGCAAAGCAGTGGGGGGATGAGCTGAGGAGCCATTGGTGTGAGCTGAGGAGAGGCGTTTGTGTGTGTGAACCCCCAAAGACCCAGCATCCTCCTCTCAGTACCACATTGGTAAGTAGTGTCAGTGTGGGTACATATTGTAGCCCATCTGTTAACCTACATAGCAGTGATCCCCCAAGTTCAGTGAAGTGTGAGTAAGGATGCAACTTGCCTGCTTGAAGGCGCTCAGGTCATCCAGGCAGTTGGTTTAAAACAGGCCCATGGAGTATAGCAAACTTCAGGAAGAAATAAGTGTTGCAATGTTCATCTGCTCTGTTCCCTTTTCCTTAGGAAATGTAAAGAGAAAATCTTAGCAGCTGCAATGGTGTGTTGAAACGATGTTCAAGGACAGACTAATTAAAGCAAAATGAATATTGTTTGCTTTGTATTCCCTGATTATCTGAAATTATGTTCATGTGATCTGGATTTTTCCTCACCTTTTTTTCACCTTAAATTTATTCACTCTTTGCTTTATGGAAGTGTTAAAGACCTTTTGGCAATCCTAGCTTTGCTTTAATACTTTAAGCAGAGCTCCTTAGCTGCCCCTTCTGTACAACATTGTCTCATGCTATGCTACACTTCTCTGCTGAATGCACCAAATCCCTATAGGTGCCTTTGCTGGTCCTATGTCCTTCTTGTGTCCATCAAGGACACCCTTAGCAATACCAGCAAAACATCACTTTTCTTTCCTGGACCTCATACACTGAAAGGACTTTATTGGGTAGGAACCAGGAGAGAGTGCAAGAAGAGTTAAAGTACTGGCGATATTCTTGAAATGGGAATGCATGTGCAGGCAGGATTTTGACACACAGAAATAAATCAGGCCCATCTTCAAGGCGTTTCTTCCATCACCTCTCGCCTTTGTTCTTTATCCCCTCCGCTGTCCCTGTTCCCTGACTGCCTGAACTCCTCTGTTACATCACTTCACTTCCCTGCCATCGTCCATTTTTCTGCACTGATTTTACCCATTTCTCTGGGTATTTCTCTGCTGATTTTAGGCATTATTTCTTCCACCTCAGCCAGTGATATCCTTGATTAGTTTTGGAGGGGCTGTAGGGAGCAGAAAAGCAAGAATACCAACTGTTTGCCTCTATCTACAATATGCAGAAGGGATTCTCTGCATCTGTTGATAGCATACCAGCCTGCTCTGGTTCATTTGTTTTGGTGACATTTTCTCAGCTTACTGAGAACCCACCACAGAGATTAATGCAACCTGAAGCAATACGAGAAGTACGAACCCATCTGTTAAGCTCAGTTGCTGATGTTCCCACCATTCTTCAAACTTGGCAAGATGGGAATAAGGGAAGCAGGACTTGCTTTCTGTCAGATATTCTTTCACAAGGAGAAGGGCTTGCTCACTTCTTATCAGATACCCCGTTTTCTTGTTGCTGTGCTGAGATGTCTCCCCTCTATCCATCTTTTCCAGATCCTTCACTGTGTAGGAAAATGGGACTCTTCTCTCCTTCCTGTTCCACTTATCTTTTGCACTCATGCAGACTCCCCACTTGCGTGCCTTATAGTCCCCTCCCCTCTCTGCTACTTTTTTTATAGCACTGCAGCACTGTTACCTTGCAGTACTTGAAGCTTTCTGTATTTCTTGCTCTGCACCAAATGATGAGTTTCTCTGATGGGACAATATGTCAAGAAGTTCTTGACCCAACAGCTTTCTTTCATTTTATTTGGTTTCGTTGTACTGGAAATGTGATTAGTGCACCCGTATTATCTTTTATGTTCCATCTACCTAAGCAGTGGTAATTTCCTTAATAATATTTCTGAATTAAGATTGGTGTTAGCAGGTTGGTTTTTGAAAATTTT